CACAAACTGAGCTCTTATACACAGGACAACATTAACAAAGCACAACATGTAGGTAGCTACACCCCTGCTGCCCTACCTGCTGATTTCAGTTCCTTAAATGTGTCATCTGTATCTTACTATCAGACTTCAAATAGCCAAGCTTTATATTTTGTTTACATCCGCAAATACTACACCTAAAACCTGTGCCTTTTCATACTGCTCAGTTGTTAAATTAAACCATAGCAATTGTCAGCTTTTAATTATGCGAAGTAAGTTTTGTAGATGTTTTAAGAACTGAACAAATATATACTTTAGAAGTAGGTTTGGTCAAGTGTATCCCTGCATGTGGTACAATCAAACCTGATTACCTGGCACTCATCAACCATCTTGTCATGGAATGTCTAATGGAAGATTTTTTCAAATGAAAAATCCAGACAATTTGAGAGGTATGCAGAAAACTTGTCTTAAATATTTGAAGCTACATGTGCAATCTTACAGAACACAAGCTACAGTTACAGACATAACATTAAATCTTACTAACCAATAGTGCAGAAGAACTTAAAAAGTCAGTGAACTCACAGTACAGACAGTGACTTCCAAAAAAGTCATGTCTCAGACGCACTGTGTGAAAGGAAATAAAAATTTAAAGGGAAAATTATTCTTAGGCAAGTTAACACAAAGTTTTAATCTACATTTGAAAAGCTGTTTTATTTTATATATATATATATATACTATGTATAAAATAAATTAAAAAGGGCAAGGAGGAAATAGCCTTGTATATGCTTCAAATTGACACAGACCAGTAGTTCCATAAATGAACGCTTTACCATCTTTGTGGTAAGAAGTTGACATAAAAGTTCAAAACCATACAATACTTATAAATAGAAAGAGTTCAAAAGATATTTTTTAAAAAAATGGAATTTAAACATCATTTTCCCTTCCCCCACAATACACTTTAGTTTTGTATGTCATAACATCAATACATTTAGAGAGTATGTGAGTATCACATCCCCTCAAGAAGTGATAATGAAGCAGGTAAAAGTGCTAGCGGTGTTAAAATTGAAGACTTCTCCCAAAGAACTCCACCTGCTCCTCAGCCTTCTCCTGAAATGAAGGCTATCAACATTCATCACCCAGTCTGAGGTATGGGCTGAATTAAAACCTGCAACTGGCACTCCTCACCCCTTTGCTATGTTTTGCCTCTGCTAAAACATAGCAAAGATCTGTTGATCTGGTAATTGACAACCGTGGTGCACAATCTCTTACCTCCATTCAGCTTGGATATAATTTCATCACAATATAAAAAAAAAGTTATTTTGAAACACAGTATTAATGCTTAATTTCTTACAGAAAAAAAAAAAACACCAAAACCAAAACCAACCAAACTACTTTAAATCCTCTTTGAAACCATGTTTAAATGTTCTTGTTCCAGATTTAAAGCTTCACATAAACGCCGGACAGAAGGATGACAGTTTTAAACCAAGAGAGCACCTAAAAACATACCATAGGTAAAAATGAAATGAATCATCTCTCCACTTCATGAAAAATGTAGGAACCCTGTCAGCAACAGTAGTACACTCAGAACGAACAAGGTGAAAAGGAGCATCTAGAATACTCAAGAGGCTTGCTACGCTACTTCTCTTTATTGCCCATTCTCTCATTTGTATGGATGGCCACTGCATGACAAGATGTCTGTGATAGTTCTTCCTTTCACCACTGCTGCCAGCTGAAGTCGTCATTGCTGCCAAAGACCAAGAAAAATCCTAGGATGGTGGCAAAGATGACTGTATTCCCCGTAAGAACAAGTGCACATGCACCCCAGTAGATCTGTGAACAAGGGGAATTTTGTTAGACATGTTTTGAACTGAACGCTGACAAGAAAAAAAAGTAATGTTTTAATGTCATGTTCTAGACAAAGTTCAGCAACAGGTCCATGATGCAAGAAGGTGGTATCTCATTATTTGGGGCTACAAAAAGAAGGCTGAGTTCATCCAGAATGACTCAAACAATTCACAACTAGCCAAGTAGCACTGGTTCTTTTAGCCATGCTCAAAGTGCTGGCTAACAGGCACAGCTGTTTCACTGCAGCATCCAAAAATTGTAAGGTAAGGCGATGTAGCAGCATCAAACATATCTGCAGCCCAGCTAGACTTGCTGACCATGCTGTAAGACTTTTATTAAACCTGCAAGTATCATAGAATCACAGAATCAGAGAAATGTCTGGGTTGGAAGGGACCTTCAAAAGTTCATCCAGTTCCAACCCCCTGCCACAGGCCGGGACACCTTCCACTAGACCAGGTCTCTCACAGCCCCATCCAGCCTGGCCTTGAACACTTATATAATATCCCAATAACAAAACAGGAGGTGACTGTTTTCCAAAGACAGTAAGTGATTACTCGAAGGCATTCAAACTGACCCTCTGAGCTGTTCTTGCCTGAAGAGATTTTGTAAGAGAGCACTCCATGATGTTTGGACTTAGTAGTGCTCTCTGAAATTCACACAAACAAGGTCATCTTTTAAAGGATTTCAGTGAAAAGCCATATATTGGGAAAGATGTAATGACAACTCAGAAGTTTAAAAAAAACAACACCCCAACATCAATATAACGTACACTGAGTGCAAAAAAGGCATTGTATATTCATGCTTCTTTAGCCCAACTGTTCCACAAACTGCCTTCAAAGTATTCTACACACTTTGATGTTTCTTTACTTGCCTGTTAAGTTTCCACTCTATTTTCTAGCCCCTTTTCTCTGCATTGCATATAGGCTGTTATGGCTTATTCAACGGCCAGGTGAAGCTATTGGCAATCATGACATTCTGTCATGCTTCCATGTTAAGTATTAGTTTTTCTTGCAGGCAAGAAATCCTGTTCTGTTTCCACAGCAGGCATCTTAAGTATGTATTTATAAGAACTGCTTAGCGCATGAGAGCTTTACCTTGAGTAATAAACAAACAGAACAAGATTTCTAGTAAAAACAAAGAATAGATTGAAATATTACTAACCAGTTCTGCTCTGGCAAACACTATTGGTAGCCCAAACGCTGAGACGACAATGCCTGTTGTAAGAAATATTGCTAGCTCCTTGCAGGCATTACTTGTAGCATCTGTGTCATCTACTAATCTTCTTGCTATGCAGTACGGGATAGGAGACAGGATGTAAAAAAACAGAACAAACAGTGGCCAGTACTGACTGAAAAAGAAAGGAGAAGAAAAGTTAAGATTAACTTGATTTACTTCACATTCTCCCTAAAAATCAGTGCAAGACATTTTCCCTATCCAGCACCCACATTCAGGACAGGAGGCACATGCCCAGAGAAAGCAAATCCTCTTTGGAACCAGCTGACATTAACCAGTTTGTGAGCAGCTTCAGCTGACCTCAGCAGCAGAGAGCTCACTAACAGGATATTCACAAAGCATGACTTCACTAAGCAAGCCTACATCTAACACCACATAACAACACAAGCTGAGCTCTGAAGTTTAACCTGTCAGCTTTCAGTGCACATCCACAGAACAAAGCACTGTTCTCAGCCCCAACACTCTGCTGCCATGGGGTACCAAGGCTTTTCTTTAATCTGAATGTAACCAACAATAACCTACAAAAATTGTACCATCAAATTTGGCAACGTTTTCTTTCATTGCTTACAGCTCACCATACTAGATTTCTCAGACACAGTAATGCAGTTGCTCACTGTTTCAATAAAACCTTATGGCATTGTTTGGAGTGTGGCTGCATAGCTGCATAATGATCTCCTTACCTGGGGGCTGTGTCACTAACCCTGGTTTTGGAGCATAAACAAGCTGGTGTAAGAAAGTGAGTCATGTGTAAAGAACTGCGATGCATAGCCACTAAAAGGGCCACTAACAGAATATTTAACATTAAGTAAGTCAATTTAAAAGATTTTCTGTTAAAGTCAGCATTCAGTTGCAAAGGGTCAGAGCCACAGGCCTAATTTTCTCAAACTTCTGGTCTACTACTTTGTATATCCTGGCAAGGGGGAGACAGAAATGAGCAGACCAAAAGCAAACACAGTTATTGCAGATGCTGCAATACAACGCATGGTGCAGTGCCCACCCGATAGTCACTGACAGTCCAGCTACCACCAAGTAGGCAAAGAAAAGGCAAACACTTCCCCAGTAATACACACTATCTACGTTGGGAGAAGCCATCTGCATGTCAATACCAGACGAACAACACTGGGGACATGTTAGGGCAGTGCATTCTTTAGCAGTTTGCAACCAGGCCTGGTAAAACTTAACTTCTGTTGCATTCATTTTTACAATTAATTAATCCTGGCTGGCCTGTTTTGTTTGGTTTTTTTTTTTAAGCCAAAAATACCCTAGATCTCTCCCACCCACAAATAACTTTTCAGCCCATCGTTACAACAGCAAGACTATTCCACAGTTACAGCCATTCAAAAATACCCCGAGGAACAGGAAGAGAGTGCGCTTTACTTGTACTGAGGAAGGGCACAGCCGAGCATCAGGAACATCAGTCCGACCGCTCCCCCGAAGGACAGGCTAATCAAGGCTACAGCGGGAACACAAACCGACACAGGTGAAGGGTCCCACAAGCCACAGAAACCACCGACCACCACCGCCAGGTAACCGCGACCGCGGCCCTGACGCACAGAGCCCCGCTGTACCCCGGGCAGCCCTGGAAGAACCCCGCTCCTTTCCCAGGGAAGAGCCCCCCTACGGCTACCGGGCCCCCACGGGGGTGCGACCCCAGCGGCGGTGGCCCCAGGCCCGCCCGCCCACCCCTCCCCACAGGGCCTCGGGCGCCGCACGGGACACCGTGGGGAACGGGGGAGAGGGGGCGGGGAGGGGTGGAGCGCGCCCGTTCCATCGCGCCACGCGCACCTTTGATGCCGGCCATGGCGCCGCCCGTCCCGCGAGCCGCACCGGCGGAAGGCCCCGCGCCGGAAACAGGAACTGGCGCGGCCGGGAGAGGAGAGCGTATGCGCGGAGCCTAGCTCCGCCCCGTCTCCTCCCACGTTCCGGCCACGGACTCACCTTAGAGCTGTTATGGCGGCTGTGGAGCGGCTTGTGCGTGAGGCTCGGTCTCTCTCTGTGCTCTTCTTGCTCCTCCTCTGCGTTGCCGCGTGCCCCGTGTGGAGCTGGGGCCAGCACGGTGAGAGCCGTGGGGCTGGCTGCGTCTCTGTGAGGCCCTTAGTTGCTTCTTGCGTCTCTCCCGTCGCTATGGCGCTGGGGCGGGTGCTGCCGGTTAGCGGCGGCCTGGCACGGGGAGGGGGAAGCTCTGGGCCTGTACCAGGAGGGCTTCTTGATTTTCTCTCGCTTTAAATTGTCTTGTGGCGCATAATAATCCCCCTTTGCGATCCGCGGTGGTTGTACATTCTGGGAGGAATATCCCAGATCTCTTCCCAAGGGTCGGAGAACTTTGCTGTGTTCCCCTCTGCGCCTTTGGTGCTTCTGAAGGCTTCGTCTCTTAAAGAAGCACGCTGTTGTGTCCTTTGTATCGTCAGCCTTGTTCTGAAAGGAGGCCCTTGTGCCCTCTGGACAAATGTTGACCTTTGTGCCACCTGTTTCAGGGAGAGTTCTGCTGCGGGAAGTGCAGGCGCTCACTCTCCATAGAGGGCAGTACACGACAGCCCGGCGGACAGCTGCAGTCCCTCAGTTGCAATGCACAGGAGGCACTGCTGGATGCTCCCAGATCCCGGAGGTTGTTCAGTGTTACAACAAGGGTTGGGATGGTTATGATGTACAGGTAACTGTCTAAAACTGGTTAAACGTTTAATGAAATCCTTTTCCCCCAGACTTGGCAACTTCTGAAGTAACGGTGCAACAGAATCAGTTCAATTTGCCTCTTGCTAGAGGACCTTTAACAACTAAAACTTAATCTAAATACTTTTTGGATTTGGGTTTTTCATGCTGTGGGTATAGCTTTGAAATATTCCCAAAGTCTCTAATGTAAAAGTGCTGTGTAGCAAACCTTTATTAGTTTTAATTAAAATGTTTGAGGTTAGAAAATCGAAGTCTTGCGAACCCCAGAGGATGCTCTTGCTTTGATTTTGCTGCATGGTTTTCCAATTTTTATTAGAGTAGAAGGGGCTATAAATATTTGCATCACTTCAGCTGTACATTTTAAAAGCTAAATTTCAGACTTGCATGCATGACTTCCTCTTGCATGTTAGTTTGTCAGTACTAGTCAGTAAATAGTCAGGTATTTCTGTTAGCTACAGGCTAGGCTTCTGCCAATAGATTAACCAGGAATCAAGGCTGAAGATAATTAAAACTGACACAGTATTGCAAAAGTACGGTCAGACTTGAATTAGCAGTTGGTACTGGTGTCCTGATTTATTAATTTAGAAACTACTTTCTTTTTTTGGGGGGGGGGGTTGTCTCCCAAAAAAATGTGTTACTTGCAGTTGGAGGTGATAGTTAAGTTCAGCTATGTCAAGGAAATACGAGACAGAGGAACTGGCATATATTCAACTGCCTAATTGTAGTCTGATTGTTAAAGTGTTGCATGTGAATGCCTAATGATGCCTCTCCCACTTCTTTTGATTTCTGTGTGGACACAAACGTCATCAGGTCCACTGGATTTCATGCTTCCATACTGTGTTTTTGCAGCTGCCATCCAGTTCACATGGGACAGGCATTTATCAAGTAACTGTTGCACGGGCTACAAGTTATTTTTAGAAGTATTCCTGTGTCTGAAGAAGGGATACTTGAAAAACCTGTTCAGTGGATCTTCCAGAGTTGTAACTGTTCTGTATTTTGAAAGATTGGATATTTTTTTAACTTCCAGGATTTTAAAAGACAGTCTTGGTTAACTTCAAATTCCCTGTCCTTTTCAAAATAAGAATGCTCAGAAATTTTTTACCCTGTGGCCTTTTAGATGGTTTGTTAGCAAATGCAGCTTTATTTTGGAGCATATCTGGGGGAGCAGACAGGTTTTTTTGTCCCTGGAGCAGGAGGTTTTACTTTGTGTTTATTGTTTTCAGTGGCAGTGCAAAGCAGACCTGAAAAATACCCACCGGTTTGGACGGATCGAAGTGAGCTGTGAAGGCTATGATTACCCGGATGATCCTTACATCTTAAAGGGCTCCTGTAGTTTGCTGTTCAGGCTAGAGCTGACTGAGGAAGGTGAAAGGAAAGTGAAGAACCCTGGAAGCTTTAGCTATTATGAGTCAAGGAAGGATTCTTCTGATTCAGGTGGTGGAGCAATTCTTGTAGTTGTTCTCCTGGCTCTTGCTTTTGGAGTATACAAGTTCTTCCTTAGCAATGAGCAGCCTGAACAAAGTTCTGGTGATGGGTTCACTACGCCTTCCTGGCAGAGTCATCCGGCACCTCCTCCTCCTGGTTTTAAATCCAGCTTCACAGGTAGGGCTATAAGACGTTTACAGCTCTCAAAATAGTAACTAGGAGGGTCCTGTTTTATTTGCAGTAAGTGCAGGTGAGATGGACTTAAACATGGGCAGTGCATTGGCATGGGACATGGCAGTAGGATGGACAGTGCATCGGCAGTTGCCTCTGTGCATTGGCAGCCCAGCCTGCAGCCAGCAGTGCATTCTCTTCTTCATTCAAAAGTGAAAATAAGAACTTGGTTTACCACAGGCTTTCAGGGCAAGCTGTCCTTTGAAAATCCATCTCCCTGTGCTCTGCAAGTGTTCTTTTCTGCTCTGAGAAACAGAAGGATTGTGACAATAATTTTCATAAAACATCTGGAAGAGAGAATGGTCTCACACAGGCAGAAACAAACTCATGCCAAAGAAGCACTTGGAAGCTTTTCAGAAGGGTATTTCAGCCATTGGGCTGCTAACCCCACAAAGCAACTGATGGAATTAAGTGTCATATACTGGTCCTGTATAACAGGTGCTTCAGTGTAGTCCTAGTGATTGAAAGATTTGGCTCCCAGAGCATAAAACAGTGTCTGAAGCTCATGTGGGTACCTTTCATCTGAAGCTGGAAATTCCATGTGCAGTGACAAGACTGCTGTAAGGAAAAGGTACATGTTTTCTTTTCCCAGAAAATGGATTACTTTTGTCACTTAATAAATTGTCTGCCTTAGAAGGTCATAGTGTCCAAGGGAAATAAACATGATTCATCTGGTGTATGACCAACTTGTCTAACCCTGTGAACATGTGAGATGCTCACACCATTGGAACTCAGATTATGTTCTGACAAGTTGTTTGGTTTGATTTATTTTGTGAGATGGAGAAGGGATTCTATCAATTAAATAAGTAGCAAGGACTAAGTTTACTAAAGCATAAGCTTTTGGTGTAGTTATGCTTGTCAATGCTTTCCTCTAGGTTGGCTCAAGCCATTTGGCCAACAGAGGGTGCCAGTATAACTCTTTTGAATACTCCTGTGCAGCACTTTCAGATGTACCTGTAGCAGAAAATTAAAGGGATTCTGCCTCTGTATTACTAGTGACTTTGCTAATTGGTTTCTGTGTAGTTATTTCAGACCTCAGACAGTCTGTCTATGCTGTGTGTGCATCTGTGACTTAGTGTGGACATGTCACTTGCCACTGGCATTATTGTATTAGTTTCTAAAAAGCTCTGGTCATAAGATAGGATGCTGTCATACTGGGCACAGGCAGAACAGAACAAGGAGTTACTTTTCTTTTTCCCTGTCCTGTTTCTTGTCATTAATTGCACCAGTGCATTTTTCATTGCAGGAGTCTGAAATCTAGCAAGTGTAGGACCTTGAAAGTACATTTTCTTGATGATTATTGAAAATTGAGACACTTAAAGTGCAGATTGGGAGCCATATGAGGCTTAATTTACAGCATTTTTAATAACTACTGTCAGTGATTTTTCCTTGGATTTCAAACAGAATGAGGAGGAAAACCTACTGAACGTGGGGCCAGCTTAAAAACATTATATGTTGTGCTACTTCATTAATCCAGTGTCTGTCTTAGATTTTGGCAGTGGAGCAGAAGCACATCTCTTGAGTGCGTATGTCCATGTGTTCCAGGAATGTAATAGTCTTTGAAAATCCAGATGGTAATGAAAAGCCATGTGGTTCACTTATTGCTGTTGATGTTTAATTTGCTTAATTTAAAATCCCCTTAACATTCAGGATGAGTTCTGTGAAACTTGTTTAGCTAGCCTATCTTAAGTTCCACTTTTTCTCTGTTAGTGGTTTGACATGATCCTTGATGTTTACTGTAGATATTTCAACAAGAAATGACTGTTTTCTGAGTCAACATTCAGCCGCAGTGCTTTAGAACAAATGAGTTAGTTCATCTTCCTGCTTAATAATGTTTTACAGTAAATTAAGTTCTTTTTTTGCCGTTGTTATTCCAAATCATCTTAGTTTAATGGTTACATCATCCCATTGAGTTTCTTTCTCCCAATGCATTCAAATTGAAAGTCAGCATCATATCCAGTGTATACTTAAACTGATTTTTTTTTTATCATAATTTCAAACAATCCACACCAGTTTAAAGATAAACAAGGCCTCATATAACTTCAACATACAAAATCTGTTTCATTTACTTAGGTGGGCATTCTTCAGGAAGTTCCTGATGTCACCTTCAGTCCTTGCCTTTTACACTTCCTTATGTGTTAAAATTGTGGTTGAGCTTATTCTTGCACCTGTGTTTTTCTCTAGACCAGAAAATTATTCTACTTTGGGTTTGTGCTTTTTCTTTTAATTTCTGACTGGAAGAAGGCATTCTGTTCTGAGTCAGAACCTCATGTTATGCAGGTCATATGTAAAATATCTGTGACTCTCCTTCCCCCATAACCCACTTGATACGCTTGCAGTTTCATTTCAGTGTTTGTCAAGATTGGTGACTCATGCATAATGAGAACTTTGCAGTGTGACTGCAGTTAGGGTGTCTTTTGATAACAAATACCAGACTAGGAGTACCAGAAACAATACAAAGTAATGTTAGCCATTAGACTGAGCCACTCAAAATGTGCAGCTGTTCTGAGTGAGATTAGAAGCTGTGGGTCTTAGTGCTTAGTTCACTGTTTGGTCTTAACTACTTGATTTCTGTTCCTGCCTCTGCTGCTGACCTGCTCTGTGACCTTGAGTAGATTATTCTTTCTTCATTTTCTTTCTGTTTTTAATCTAACTTGTCTGTTTATAAATCTGCAGGCAGGGACTCTTTGCCATGTTTTGCAAACGTCAGGGCTGTGAGATTGAGTGGAAGCTATTTTTTAACATAAAGCTCCTTACATTAGTATTTGTTTCTTTGGGTTTTTTCCTGCTTTCCAAACTGTGGGGCTTTTGAATTTAAGCGTCATCAAGAATCTACTGAAATTAGAGCAAGTTTATTGTCTCATTTTCCATTATTTTCAACAGGGGAGAATGTTATTGCAACAGCTGGCCTGAGGATTAGGTGCCACTAGCTGATCTGTTTCTCATTTTCATTTTATTTAAGATGATAACAGCTTTGGGGCTCATTCCTATCATGGAACCAATTCAGGACCAGGATTTTGGACTGGATTAGGAGCGGGAGGCTTGCTAGGCTACTTGGCTGGCAGTCACAGGTAAAATATGCATGCTACCAGATTTTATGTGTTTAAGCTTTTACTGGCTATGCTATATACTGGATTTGCATTGTTGCTAAGCTTTCAGGCCTGTATTGTTCAAGCCATAAAATCCTACTGGCAGAACAATTTTGAGAGGCAATCTATAGCTCCAGCAGCAAAGACATTTTAAGCATGTTTCTTGATAAGAGGAATAGGGAAGACTGAGGTATTTTGTTCCACTTTAGCTGATTATTCTGACCTGGCACAATGGCCTGCAGATTTAAAATGAGCATTTAAACAATCCGTCCTCAGGCTGCCTTAAATAATAATATTTACCATAAAACCACCTGCAGATGGGTTTCTTGTATCAGTGTCATCTCTTCTAAAGTCAGTCTGGATGGCAACTGCTCTTCTGCAATACTCAGTAGGGTCAAATTTAACAGCCTTTTAATCTACAGGCTCCTAATGTCCTGTGTGTGGAAATCCAAGAGGTGTGGTTTTCCAAAGAACTTGTAGGTCGTGTGCAAGTTGCATTTTGGAAAAAACGTAACAGTATTCAAAAGCAGCTTCAGTGCTGGAGTAAACATCTGCTGGTCATGTTTGCTAAACACTTTTAAACATTTAAAACACATCCTTTTTAGATAAACAGTTTAAAGGGAGCAATTGCTGCCATTTTAGGCTTCACTAGAGAAAATATGTGCTCCTGCAGGGAATCTTTAGAGCTCAACAATGTTCCTCTGTTTATCAAATAACTGCATGTGTATCAAATCTAATCCTGTAGGAATGCAGTAATAGATTAAATATAGCCACATACATTTTTTCTATATTGAAAACTTGTGTTAAAGCATCTGTCTCCACTGTAAAGTTTGGGGGGTTTTGGTAACGACAGAAGCATTATCAGGATTGCCTGTTTATTAAGGAAGTAAAAACTTGGGAAGTAAGAGAATTTCTAAAGTGCCTAATGTGCAGTCTTGATCTCATAGAGTCAGGTAAGATGGAACTGAGATGATGATGCCATCGACAGTAGAAATTGTCTATAAAATCACTCCAGAGCTTTAGAGGTTAAAAGGTTGTATCTTGGATTAATGATCTTAGAGGTCTTTTTCAACCAAAAAGGTTGTATGATTCTATGATCTTATTATACTAACTGTGCTAAGAATGAGAAAAGTTACGATGTCCCAAAGGTTTTCTTGACTTGATATTTCTTAAGTCTTAAATATGTCCCTTGTGTTTAAGCATTGTATTTATGTATTATCTACACACAGGCTGGTTCCTTGATTTCCACACACAGGCCTCATTTCAGTAGCTTCCTCTTACTGTTGAAGATTAGGGGCTGAAGTGAATATTTTAAGTCCTGGCATATGAACAAGCTTTCTAACTTGGGCTTCTTTTATTTTAAAATACTTCATTTATTTTTTAACTTTTCTCAGTCATTTGAAATGGTGTGCCTGAAAATGTTGGTCAGCATGTGTGAGAGAGATTTGTAAACTTCAATGGCAGGAAATTCCGTATCCACAGAAGCAAGTAATTTGATTCAGTGAGTCAAAGGTCACGATGTTAGTCTTAATGATACAACATTTTCAAAGTAGTTAAAAGAGCAAAACAGAGGGATGTTTTCTTTTTTGCCTTAATGTGGCTGGGATGTAGCTGTATTTAAGTGTATTTAAACAACACTGGATATTCTTGTTCTCAACATGTTAATGCATTAAATGGGGAGGTTTCCAGCTTTGAAACAACTGCCTGCTTACAGTTTTCCCTCAGATGCAGTCCCCTTGTTTGGAACGGTAACTACTTAATTTTTCATAATGTCACTAACAAAACCTTCTTTCTCCTCTGTTTCTCATCAGAGCACGGCCACATTCCCCATACTACAATATGTGGACAGATCACACAGCTGCGCCTCCAATGAATGGGCAGCCAAGCAATGCCACACAAGGTAGTTCAGGAAGAAGAACTGCTTCTGGTAAGGCAAAAGACCCCTTAATCTCATGAAGCTAGAGAGACTTGAACCTATCATAAATACACTGGTGTTAGCTGAGGTTCAGCAAGCATCCTGTGTTTTATTTTACCAGTTGGTACAGGTGGGCATGTAATGGTGTCCCTTATTTCTGTTTCGTGTTCAACTAGGGCAGCGCTGTGGGGCATGAAGCTCCCCACCGGCCTACAGCAGCTATGGTATCACCAATGTCAAGCTTGTCTTTGCCTGCAAGGTGCATTAGTTTAAGGCTTTCCCCTTTGGCATGCACTACCCATGCCCTTCTCTAGCAAACATGTATAAGCATGTTCTTTGTGGAAAGCAGGTTGTTTAAACTGCAAGAACGGAATATTTCTCAGGCTGTTCAGCCCACAGGTGCTTGCTTTTGTACTTTATGTGATTATGTTGAACTCATCTCACTTGCCACCTTTATCCTTTTCAGAGCTACAGAGCTCTGTGGAAAGGCTATGGTAGAGCTGACAGTTGTTATTTTCTTGTCTTTGCAGGGTTTGGGGGCACAAAACGAAGATGAGGTCCTTGACGTTATTACAACTGAGTGATTGAACTAATCTCCCTGTGTACTAGTACTTTTTTATTAGTAGTAGGCTTCAGAAGTGGATATGAAGAAGGGTGTGAAGGACTGGAGTTCTAAGAATTCCTTACTTCCCCATCGAAATGTTTAGGATATTACAGGTGTACAGTGCATGAGGGATTGTGGCACTGGTAGCCTTGCCAGATCCAGAAAGGCAAGCAGCTTACTCATGTTCTGGGCTTAATTTCATTTAATCCAGAATTTCTGAGGTTTTTTTCTCTTTCTTAGTGGTCCAGCATCTGAAAGCCTAATGTGTGATGCACCTGATATCTGAGGTGCTCTCTGAAACTACTCTTGTTTGTCAAATTGTGAGCATTACTATACATGCAGTCAGCTACTCAGATGAGTGTTTACCTTAGTGGACAAAAGCAAAAATATATATATAGAGACAGAAACTAACATTAATGTTTGTATCTGTGCTGCGTGACTATTGGAGCCAAAATTTCGGATTTGATGATGCTCCGTGTTGTAGGGGTCACCCAAGTGGCTCTGCAGACCTGGAGGGTTTTGTGATTGAATTATGAAGAAAAATTAAACATGAAATGGGACAAGATGGTCCTTCTTTAAATTGGACCTTTTTCTGGAAGACTAAGGTAATTTAAACTCGGGGGCTACAGCCACTTTGCCCACATTGAGGCTCCAGACTTTTCTTTTTACAGTGGGTGTTAGCAATGCTTTGAAAAACTTCTAATGTGAACAGTGTGTCCTGGACACTGTAAACCAAAGGTGCCGATGGCAGGAGGGAAGGAGCATTCCTAATCCAAAGCTAGCAGTATCTTGAGAACACATAGCAGGCCTTGAGACTAAGCAGAGAAAGGAAATTGAATGTCTAATGGGTTGTAAACTTTCCCAAATGTACCTTTTAAAACAAAGGGCTGTCAAAGAGTGGGAAGCAGAGGGGCCTTGCTTTGTTCTGTGATGATGGTTTGGGGCTCTGAGAAGCATCATATGGTTTTCGTGTGATTGACAGTGCCCTGGAGAGGCAATGCTGAAAAGAAACAGAGAAATTTCTCAGGGCTGGGAGGGGAGAGAAGAGTGAAAAATGGGCTGGTTGACCACTAGGTCTTCTCCGGAGGCAGTCCTAACACAGCTTAGAAGTGTGTGCGTGTGTGTGTGCGCACGCACAGCTTTTCTACACTGGCAGCAGCCTAAAGCATACCCCATCCTTGGGAAAATACTGTGTCTGGGATGTGATGTAAGCTGCTGCAGCAAAAGCAGAGCACTGTTCTGCTGATACAAACTGCATATCCGTGAGGAGATTCAGCAGGTATGGTTAGTCTAGGAAAGTGGCTTCAGCGTTACTCATCAAAAAGCAACTATGTCTGTTAATGAGGACAGAAATGATTGGCTCAAATGCTAATGCCTGAGTTCAGTGTTTGGTTTAAGCAACAACAGCAGCAAAAGAAAAGAAAATCTTTAAGAAGTCATCAGAAGCTATGACAAAGTGTAGAGCTTGCACTGAAAACGCGGAGATCATGATAAAATTGATAACTTGAGGATAAAACAGTGGTTTGCTTCTCAGAGCAGAGCTGCTTGTGGATTGGGCAAAAATACCTTCATTAACAGCCTGCTCTGTCAACATAGGAGGCCTGTTAGAAAGTTTAACTTTTTATGAGGTTATATGATAAATTTCTCTTTTTGACCAAATATAGCAAAATAATGTATTTTAAATGTGAAGGTCTTATGCCTGAGTGTATTCAGGTTGAAACTTGTCACAGTCAATACTCTTTGCCAACTAATTACCTAACAATGAAACTGGATTTCTGCTAACTGGGTAGTTTGAAGCTGAAGTTTGCTCTGAAGTTATGGTGTGTTACAAAGTGTTTTAAACAATGTTTTCATTTGTATTTATAGCTGCTGCATGAAATGTGATTTGATGCATAAACCTGATAAATAAATTACTGTTGTTTCTGATTGTGTTTGTAGGATACTTTTGCCCTTCCCTTTGATAAAGCAGTTAAGTGAACAAGGGGTATTTTTGTCTTTAAAGCACTGTCTTGAGGTCTTCAGAGATGGCAGTTTGGTTTTCAAGGTTAGCTACATCTCACCATCCATTTCTTGGATGGTGTAATCCTTTACCCCCTGACACAGAGCTGGTAAGCTGTATATTGTTTCGACAAAATAAACCAATACCAGGGATAGTGTTATTTAATTGATTGGATTTTAAGTAACAAAATGCTGAACCAGGCAAGGAAACAAAGGATTCCTTGTAAATGAGGGTTTCACATCTCAGTCTGCAGAAAAGCTCCGTGATGTTGGCACATTCCTGGTTTTGCAAGATGATTATCTGAACCTTTCAAAAGTTATGATCCCTGCTGCTGTTCCAGTTGTGGGTATAGCAGAACTCTACCCAGAGATAGCAGCTGATGGATCTGCTGCGTACTGTGTGTCGCTACTGAACAGAGACATGTCCTATATAGGTAGAGGCAGTTCAGCCTCTTGCCTGTAGTAAAGTAGGGTTAAACAATTCTGATAGAAGAGTTTGCTTTATTAAGGATGTCGAGGCTCCTGAATCAAAAGAACTTGTGGGAGACCTCAATCCCTGAACATCTGGACTGGAAGGCCTTAGTCTTCCTTCTGCTCCTGGAAAGGGTTTTGGCAGCATCTTCACAGGAACTCCATAGTTGCGAGGCATATGTAAATGCTTAAACTGTTAAATGCTGTTGCAGGATAATTGCAGCTCTACTTGGCACCTGGGACTATTCCTACTCTGACATAGCTTGCATCCTCACACAAAGCTAAAGCTCATTACAGGAACAAAACTCCTGGTTTTACAGCTGACTTCCCCTGAAGCATGTGATGAAAGAAAAAAAGATGCACAGAGATAAGCTTTCTCTGTGCCACTATCTTGTGACTCAACTCCCAGGTCAGATCTTGGCTAGTTCTGCAGACTTCCATGCCTGTGCAACTTTTTCCTTTTGCTGGGTGCAAAGTGTGTGTTAGACTCTTCTGCAAGGAGAGGTGGTGTGTTTGTGTTAGGCTTTTTACATACAAATCTTCTGTGATCCTCACTTTACATCACTGAGTTCCAAAAGGGGAGTTAAACCAGATAACATGACTTCCAGCACTAGGAGTTGTTGCACAGAGAAATTGCTGGCAGAAAGTAACAAGCAATGCCTGCCTACACAGCTATCTAAAAGCTGAAAATACAGTATTTGTTCACAGGCTGTTAATGTATTTTTCCCTCCTTAGTAATAGCAGATTAGTGTTAGCATTTCAGAGTACCTGTCAACTAGTGATTGCTCAGCTGCCTTCAAACTGAAGTACATGAGCAAAAATCACAAGTAAAATAAAAAAGACCCAGCCTCAGAGGTGCAGTCTGTGCCTGAAGACAATGCTGCTGTCCCATGTTGCGTGAAATGAAATGCATCATCAGGTCCCTTGTTCTCCTTCCATACACTGAGGCAGTTGAGGGTTAAGTGCTGCATGGGAGAGGCTCTGAATCCCTCAGCATATTTTGCTGCACCCTTCCTCTGCAGCTGACAGTAGTCTTCACTTTCTGACATTATTTCTATGCAGCTGTGTTTTGTCGGTGCTAATGAAAATAATCAGCAGGCTCCCTTTATGTAGTCTGTATTCATCTCCCACTGTCTTCATTCTTACAGTTGCCTCTGTTCTGATTGTCAGTGTTTCTTTGCTAAGGAAGTGACAAGCACTTGCAAAAAGTACATTGAGCTGGAAATAGCTGGTGTAGATTGAGATGAAGTCAAAGGAGCAAACTGCTAGGCTGTGAACTGACCCTTGTGGGCAGTGTGTCTGTGAAAGGAACTTTTCAGCTTTCTGTCAGAGAAGCATTTTGTCAAGGGTACTGTATGGGCAGCTGGTGGCTGGAGCAGCTGGAGGACTAGTGAGCTGCCAGCATGGGGAAGACCTGAAAACATCCTCTCCAACCTACCTTAGAAGTTACTAAGGTCTGTATAACCAGGAAGGTGGCCTAGGACGTGCTAACTCAGCCTCCCCACAGGCATGCCATTGCAAGTCGTTTAGGTAGATGTATGTTTGAAGTTATCAGATACTTCTGAAAATGCCACGATGCACAAGAAAGGGGACTTGGCCCTGCATCCATGATTGTTTCCCACGGTAATGTGTCTTGGAATGAGCTGAGAAGGCCAGAACTGGAGAGAGGAGCAAGCAGCTTGATGAAGGGTACAAGTTTACACCTGTACTAGCCAAAGCCAGGCTTGCAGGAAGAGCCTTGGCCCTGCTATGTCCTGTCTGTTTGCTTTTCTCATACAACAGCAATAAACACAAGGCAGCTCTAATAGCAGTTGTATCAGGTTTATTTTACTGGGCTTGAAAGTTTCATCCTGCATCCCTAAGCAAGTCCTAAGGACAATTATCAGTGATGTGTATTGGCACCTTTTGCTCTGAGGACCATCTGAGCCATAGCCCAATTCAGTCTTCAAACTATCCAGTGTGGAGTTTGGTGAGATAATCACCATCTGGTGAAAGACCAGATTCTCTTAGGTTACCACGCAGGGAATTTCTGCTCACTTTCTGGATTTGCCTTGACTTTTCCTAGGCTGAGACTCCTTTGCAGCCTTTGCTCTATGGCTGTATTTGGATGTCATTGTACAGGCTCCTCTGAGGCTTGGCCTTGAGGTCATAGCTGTTAGATCATGGCCCCCTGTGCCCTGGTAGTCAGTGTGAGGGTTATGTCAGCACTGGAATTACCGGCAATCCAAAATACCTTTTGCTGCTGATGAGTAATGGGACTTACTCATCTCCCAGTCAACTCCTGTGGTAATTTTCCTGCCATTTAGCAGCTGTAAGTGCATCTTCTTTAACAGGCGGAGAGAGTTATGGCTGAGGAGAAAAGGAAAAAGAAAGGCATAATGAATGTAGATGAAATGTTAAGGTAGAACAGCTTTGCAGAGCTGACCTTCATGCTGGGAGTATTTTATCAACATTCTTTTTCTAGGAGGAGGAGGAGTACTTTCTTGCTGTGGATTTGAATAGTACCACCAGTGCTTTCCGCACTACTCCAACAAGAGTGTGAGACTTAAAACTGTAACGGGTTCAGTGTTTCATAAAGTCAGACCTGTTTGGTGCTCAGTGCAGTTTGATACACAACTTGCAAATAATCGTTAGCGGTAACAAGTGAGGTTATATCAGTACAGAAATACATGTGGTTTGAGACAAGGAGGCGCAAAAATACAAAATGTAATTAGTTCTAAGTACTGTTAAGTTTGATGGCTTTGTAATGGAAAATAACTGCGGTGCTTGAAGGTAGTTGACAGTTTCAGGTCCTCAGGACCTTAGCACAAAAGGTGTGAGAAAAGCAGAGTAGAAAAACAGGACCTGGGGATGGGGAGTATCTGGGATTAGCAGACGTCCAGGGTGGGCACAGATAAACTAACTGATAAGTAAAAGGACAGGATGATTGCTATGTTTGGGGTGTTAATAAACCCCTTAAGCTGGTGTAAGCATCTACTAGGGAGTATCCCGGACTAGCAGATGTCCAGGATGAGAGCAGTTAAACTAACTGGTAAGTAGAAGGACAGGGTGATTGCTACGTCTGTAATGTTAATTAAGCTAGTTATGAACATTGTTGAGAAAAACGACCCTTAAAGACCACCATCACATTTTTGTATGCATGCGGGGAAACTGTCTGGAAAATGATGTAATATGCCCAGTGACCATATAAGGATGACCTGTATGGCGATTCGGGGACACAAGTTAGGAGGAGCTATCCTCCGTGTCTCCCGGCGCCGCAATAAAGAATAGCTGCTTGTCAACTTGAAACTCTGTTGGCGAGTTTGTTCCTGGAGTTTTCTCCGAATCAGGTTGCAGCACAGACAGAAACAAACTGATGCTTGTGATGTCTGAAATTGAGGCAAAAATCAAGCTCCAAGTAGGCTGAAATAGCTCAGAAAGTTGTTCCTCTCTCGGCTTTCAAGTCGAGGATCCTGTTCAGCACAACATTGTCATCTGCTGCTGATAGCTACTGTCAGCACTGAAGTGCTCTTTTCCTTATGTAGGCAAATCTTGCATCCTCTCCTGACTATGAGAAAACCAGCCAGGCCCCCGGGTCACAGTGCAGTGTGATTATCCCTTGGCAAGCCTGCGCGGTTAATTCTACATGCTCTCCTCCATAGCAGGTGGAAAGATTTATTTCCTTTTTAACAAGGAGCTGGGGATTGGGCTGTAACTCGGTGAATGTGTATAGAGCTGAAATAGTGCAAACATAAGTGATGAGAGGAAGACCACGCTGAAATCAAGTAATCCAGTTTTACCCAAGGTACTGATACATTCCCTTTAGCTCAGCTGATGCAGCTGCATAAGGGAAATTAGGGTTTGGACAGATAACTGAATTTTACATTGCAGAGTTGACAGAAACAGAACTTTCTGCAACAGCTGAGAGAATTACACTGCAAACCACCTCTAACAGCATTCAGCCTGAGAAGAGCAGGGCAGAACAGCAGGTCCCAGGCAGGAACCTGTGAGTACTTCTGAACGTGCTACTGAGGCATCTGTTCTGCTCCAGTCTTTGTTTGCTCAAGCACCTGAGAGGCCTCATGGAGCAATGAGTGCTACCACTTAGCTTCAGCTTGGCAGACCTCCAAGCCAAGAGGCTGTGGGTGAGGGAAGATTGTATTTGATGACCTTTGGACAGCACGTCAGGAGAGGCCCATGAAGACAGCTGAGCTACAGGAATGTTCCAGCCCTGGAATGACAAATGAAACAAGGGCAAGGAGCAGTCACCAACAGAGACCTTTGAAAAATGATGCAGGATGCTCTGGTGATGCCAGTCAACATATTGGAGGATGTTCTGGTGTGCTAAAGTAGCTGCATGCCCCACTCTGCACATGGCTTATAAGGACACCATATACATTCCAGTGCAGGGTCAGGCCATCCCTGCTGTTCTCTTCCTCTCTTCCTAACCATACAGGTCTCCAAGAAGGCTGGCTGGC